TTCCAAAAATGCATTTACTTTTCTTACAAAAAATTGAATTCACGGGCACTTTAAGGTTTCATCTACAGCAAATTGGGGTTAAGACCTCACTGTGGGTCCTAAAACTACAAATTTTGGGTTGTTAGATGATTTTCAGGAATTAAATTACGGTAACTTTAAAACTGACTGCTAAGAATATTTCTGCTATAGTTGATGAAAAGGCAGTTCGATATGGATAAAAACAATTGGTTTATTAGCAATATTTGAATACTTAAACCAAAACTACATTGATTCATAAATTTCTGCCAGTTTTTATCAGTGAAAAATGGTAATGGGACCTTTCTTATGAACAATAATCATTAAATTCAATTCAGTTTATTTATATAGCGCCAAGTCACAACATACATTGTCTCAGGACACTGTACATAAAAGAAACAATGTAAAGAAGAAACCAGCAGGTTGTGTTGAATCACTTCATCACAGTCTCCCATCCTGAGCAAACGATGGAGAGGAAAAACTCCCTGCTAATCAGGAAGAAACCTCCAGCAGAACCAGGCTCAGGACAGGAGACCATCTGCCTCGACCGGCTGGTTGAGGGACAGGAAAGAGACACAGGTAAACACAGAAGAACTGGTCCAGGTGCATCTACTTCTGGAAGAGAAAGAAAAAAACATGTTGATAGAAATAATTACAATAAACATGTAGAGAAGAGAAACTGGTCCTGGCGGCACTGCAATACCAGGTCAATGCGTGGAGCAAAGAAAGCAAGCTCCCAGTTCAACTCCCCGTTCTACAAATTGGTTTAATGTAAAGTCCCCTTATAAAGGACATATCAGATATGAAACTGATAAGAACAGATACTACACTTGATCTTAGCCAAAAGGCCAAGAAGCGATTAAGAAAACACTAGCCAAAAGCTCAAAAACTAAATGACTATCGAAAAGCAAAAGCAGCAAAAATATAGCTAAAAGATAWAATAAAAAGCTAAATGTTGCTAAATCTAATAGTAGCAAAGATGCTAAAAGTATCAAAATCAATCAACTTTATTTATAGAGCAAATTTTAAAAAACACAAGGGCAACCAAAGTGCTGTGCAGTGAGACATAAGTTAAGACAATAAAAGAAACATAACCTACTGTATCAGATCACAGCAGGTGAGCATGTTGCCTATATAAAACAAAATCACATWGTTAAAAGCCAGAGAATAAAAGTGTTTTTAAGAGATTTAAAAACAGGAAGATAACACTGCTGATCTGTTCGTCAAATTTAAAATCAGACTCAAACTTCAGCCCCAAATCAAAAGCTGGCTAAAGCTGAAAGAAGCCAAATGGTTGTTAAAAACTAAATTGCAGTATAAAAAAATTAGAGCAGCACAGTGAAGCAGGTTTCTCTTAAAGGAACCCCACATATTTCTAAAAGAGGATTTTTTTTTGTCAATTTAATTTTTATTTTACAAAAACCAAAAGTCAGAGCATCATTTTATTGATATTGCACAAAATATACAGAAGGAATTAAATTTTAAAAACACGGGACAAATAAAAACAATGAAAGGATTCAGCACTGTTGGTGTAAAACATCCATACATCCGTCAGGAGAAAACACATTCAGTCCTGTTTCTGTTCAGTCTCTAGAAAACATCTGTGCTGTATTTATCCTAAAGTTAGAGAGGAGCAGCGACTGAGACAATAACCTGGTCGAACTGACCTGAAAGGATAATGTGTAACAGTACAAAGACACAACACAGGGGCAGGGACATTAAAACCTGAGAGCAATTCATCTGAATTTGTCTGGAGATGACAGCGTGATCAGCTGGAACAAGGTGGAACACGCAGTAAAAGAACTGTAAACCCAGCGGGAGGAGAAGGCACAAACTGAACAGTAGATAACATCTCAAAACAAAAAGCACAAAAACACGAGTAAGCTGACCCAAACAGAGTAGGAGGGGAGAGAAACATGTCACTTTACTAGTGTATTATGTATTAAAATACATTATTATTTTTATACATAAAGTTTCCAAATCCTTTGATGCTAGAGTTTTAAACTTGGAAAGAAAAAGATGCAGTTCTAGTTGTTTTAGTCAAATCATGTAAAACATTGTGATTGAAAGGGATAATATGGGACCTGTTAGCACTTAGGTTATACAGTATATACTCACATACTGTAAAACATTCACCACCTCCTATTCCAATACCAATCTTTGCTTGGTTTGACAACAGACCGTTTCACATTCACAACATCTGAACTTTAGTGGAAAACTGGTTCCTAAAAGTGAGCTCAAATGGATTTATGAAAATAATTTATGACTGCAAAAATAACAATGAAAAAAAAAATCACCATTAATATTATTACAAATAGAAAACAAGGACCTTTAAAATCAGAACAGATTCAACAGTCATAATAAACATGATTTACTGATAAATAGTACCAAAAAGTAAAGTGGAAGTCACCCCAATCTGTTTTATAAAAAAAGGAATTTCACAACTGATCGACAAAATGTATAAATAAAGATTGTGGGACTAAAAAGTTCATTATATTACAAACACAGGATAAACGAAGTCCACGTAAAAAATGAAGGCACTGGTGAACTTTGGCAGCTTAAGATACTATTGATGTGCCTAAGTATTTGTATGAAGTAACCTGTTTAATGGGATTGTTGTGTGTAGTCACAGGGTCGTTGGCTGATCTGGGATCTAGCAGAATCTCACCAGTCTCCTGGTATTTATGAGACATCTCAGGATGTTTCACCAATCCACAAACTTGTTCACAGCAGCTCTGTGGGAGGAACGGAGCTGGGATTCTCTCGTCAACTTATTCTTAAACTAGGTACAAATTGGCTGTCTTTTTCAATGATCCTCTGTAATTAATTTGTTGTTTGATCCTGCACCCACAGGTCACGAAGACCTTATGTATTTATCACTTCAACACTTTACGGGGCCGCAAAACTGGCTTCGTTTCATGTCGACTGTTTTGGCTCTGCTAATACCTTGCTTCAAGGCACAAAAGATACATGAGGTGTTGATCCATTCAGCCCAAATTTCAGCTTTTCTTTGCCATGCTGACAATTGAGGGACTGAAGCCCTAAATTCCTCATCTTTTAGCCACTTTACCTGGAATTTTCATTTACCTCTGCTCCTGACATGTTCGTCTTTTCCTTCGAATGTGTGGGCTTCTGCAACTGCGAACCAATTACCAAAATTGTTCTGCGTGTTATACTAATGGATCGCCCCAATGAGCAAGTCCAAAACCACTCATCTCATTCTGTTTTTCTTGAAAGCTAATGAAAACTTTTTGGTGCCACTGACATTCAAATGTAATGTTTTTTTAATGCTATTTAAGTATTTACATTTTGCAAAATCCATTCAATGACTTTCTGTAACACTAATTCTTAAACAAATCTTGTTAAATAAAACCTGGAACTGAGCAGGTTTTCTTTATTGTGGCGTGAGAAAACATGATCAAAAATTGGAAGCTAGAATAATTTCTCAGAAAACCAAGTGAA